CGGAGGCGGGGAGGAGGAGGAGGAGGAGGAGGAGGAGGAGGAGGAGAAGGAGGAGGAGGCGGAGAGGAGCGGAGAAGGGGGGAGGAGGAGGCGGAGGAGGAGGAGGGGAGGAGGAGGAGGGGAGGAGGAGGAAGCGGAGGCGGAGGCGGAGGCGGAGGCGGAGGCGGAGGAGGAGGAGGAGGAGGAGGAGGAGGAGGAGGAAGAGGAGGAAGAGGAGGCGGAGGAGGCTGAGGAGGCGGAGGAGGCGGAGGAGGCGGAGGAGGAGTAGGAGGAGGAGGAGGAGGAGGCTCCCTGGGCCGCCTCGGGATGGTCGGTGGTGTCTCTGGCAGATGGGCACAGCATATGTTATGGTAAGGCCGCTGTGTTGTGCGGCCCCATTTTTTCTGCGTTTCCGTCCATCAATGAAGGTGAGCTGCAGGCATTGTTGCATTGCCTCAGGGACGCATGCCCCACAGACTCGAAGTATGTTTTCGAAGGTGTCACTCTACGCGGTAGGCTTGACTGTACTCGACTGTTCAGCATGCATTCCTTTTTCTGGCGACAGGTCTGGGACAGGCTTGATGATTGGGGGTTCGGCGGGGTGTCGTCGACGTCGGTTTCGTTTGTCAAAGTGCCTGCCCATTCGACCCACGCCGATGTTGATGCTGGCCGAGTGGCCATCACAGTCAAACTCGGCAATGACATCGCCGATGCCCACGCCAAGTGGGCAACACATGCCTTCCGACTCCCGCCGCCTCGCCTCTCTGCGCTGCAGGCCCGCGTGAGGCTCTTGCGGGCCTTTCGGGCAAGGCCATCTCGAGGCCTTCTGGGGCCGTCTTGGGTGCATCTTGGGGTCATTTTCGCTGTCTTGGAGGCCTTCTGAGCCGTCTTGGAGGCATCTTGGAGGCCATCTTCGGCGTCTTCGGGGCAATCTTGGGCCGTCTTGGGCTCTTCTTGGGGCCCTCTTGGGGACCTCTTGGGCTGTCATGGCGCCATGCTGGAGGCCTTTTGGGCGCTTTTGGGCCGTCGGAGAGCTGATGAGAAGAAGATGCCAACATCCTTCAAACACCTAAACCAAATCAATGATTTTGGCCCTTTCGGGCCTTCCTGGAGGACGTCTTGGTGGCCTTTTGGGGGCCTCTTGGCCAGTCTTAGGCCATCCTGGAGCCATCTGGGGCTGTCTTGGAGGCTTCGTGGACGAACTTGAAGGCATCTTGGACTCTCTCGGGCCGTCTTGGAAGCCATCTTGGACCACCTTCGGCGACTTGGGCGCCATCCTGGATGCCATCTTGGGCCAACCTGACCACCTTAGAGGCCATCTGGAGCCGTCTTGGAGGATTTTTCGGTGTCGTTGAGGTCACTTTCGGGTGGCTGGCGGGACGGGCCGAAACGCCAGGGGGAGTTCTTGTGGAAAACAACCAAAACCAAAAGCGAAAGGATTCAGCACGCCAGGCACCCCTGTGATGAATCAGCAGGAGGCGGCGGAACATGCTTGTGTGGCCGAGAGTTGGGCCAGAGCTCGGCCAAGCTATCGGGCCAGTTGTTCCCCGAACCGGTTTGGAACGACTGCGGGGAACGCGTGGGGGAGCAACAAGTGGAGGAGGGGGTGGATCAGGAAACAGAAGGAGGAAGAGGCTTCTTGGGCGCCTCTTGGGGCACTCTTGGGGCCTCCTGGGAGCTTGCTGGGGACCTCTTGGAGGCCTCTTTGGGGCCTCCTTGGGCCTGCTCCTTGGGCCTGCTGGGGGCCTTTGGGGGCTTCTTGGGGGTCTCTTTGGCCGTCTCAGGGCGTTCTTGGCTTGTCTGACGCCGTCGGGAGCCGTCATGGGGGCCTGTCTGGGTCGTTTTGGGGCCCTCTTGGGGCATTTCAGGGCCGTCTTCGAGGCCATCTTGGGCGTCTTGGACGCCTCTTGGGCCGTCTTGGGGCCCTCTTGGGGCCGTCTTTGGGGCTTTTTGGGCCGTCATGGGGCCATGTTGGAGGCCTCGTGGGCGATCTTGGGGCGATCTTGGGGGCCACTTTGGGCCGTTTTGAGCCGTCGGAATGCAGAGAAAGACGAATCCCACAATTCTTCAAAATCCAAGGACATGCACTGATTTTGGTCTCTTCGGGCCCTCCTGGACGACCTCTTGGAGGCCTCTTGGGCCATCTTGGGCGCCTCTTGGGGGCCTCTTGGGCCGTCTTAGGCCGTCTTCGATGCGTCTTGGGCCGTCTTGGAGGCATCTTGGAGCCATCTCAGCCGTCTTGGAGGCCACCTTGGCCGTCTTGAAGGCCTCCTGGGGGCCTCTTGGGGCCGTCTTGGGGCCTCTTGGGCCGTCATTGGGCCATCTTGGAGGCCTTGTGGGCAGTCTTTGGGCGACCTTGGGGGCCTCTTGGGCCGTCTTGATCCGTCGGAACGCCGAGGAGAAACAAACACCAAAATCCTTCAAAAACCTCGGGACAATTAACGATTTTGATCTCATCGGGCCCTCCTGGGGGACCTCCTGGAGGCCTTCTTGGGCCGTCTTGGAGGCTTGTTTGGGGCCTCTTGGGCCGTCCTGGGCAATACTGATACCATCTTAGGCCGCCTTGGATGCATCTAGGGCTGTCTTGGAGGCATCTTGGGGTCATCTTAGACATCTCGGAGGCTATCGTGGTCGTCTTGGTGGCCTCTTGGGGCCCTCTTGGGGCCGTCTTGGGGGCCCTTGTGCCATCGAGGGGCCCTCTTGGAGGCCTCTTGGGCGATCTTGGGGCGATCTTGGGGGCCTCTTGGGCCGTCTTGATCCGTCGGAATGCCGAGAAAAAGCAAATGCCAAAATCCTTCAAAAACCGAAAGACCCTCCTGGAAGAGCTCTTGGAGGCCTCTTGGGTCGTATTGGGCCGTCTTGGAGGCTTCTTGGGCGAATTTGGAGAGACCCTGGACTCTTGGGCCGTCATGAGGCCGCCGTCTTGGACCATCTTGGGCGGACTTGGAGACCATCTTGGAGCCATCTTGGGCCAACGTGGCCATCTTGGAGGCCATCTTGAGCTGTCTTGGAGGATTTTTTTCCGGATTGCGTTCCTTTCCGGGTGGCCGGCGGGACGCGCCGGAGCCCCAGGGGGAGTTCTTTTGGAAAAGAAGAAGACAACGATAGGATTTGGGCACCCCTCTTGCAAGCAACAGGGGGCGGCGGATCCAGCTGCCTACGGCAAGTCCCGCCGCCGTGCCTGGGCTGCGGGCGTAAAGCTTATTGGATGTTCGTTGGGATCTCCTGGGGGGCCTTTCGGGGGCCTCTTGGAGGCAGACTTGAGGCCTCGTTTTGGGGCCTCTTGAAGGGCCTCTTGGGGGCGTCTTGGCGCCTCTTGGGGACGACCTGGGGACCTCTTGGGAGCCTTTTTGGGGCCGTCTTAGGGCCCTCTTGGGCCGTCTTCGGCGCCTCTTAGGCCGTTTTGGGGCTCTCTTGCAGGCCTCAGAAGCCGATTCGGGGTGGTCTTGTGGGCCTCTTGAGCCGTTTGGAGCGATGGAAAATCGAAATGGCGGGAACGCCAAAATCCTTAAACAATCCAGGTGAAATCTATGATTCTTGTTTGAGTGGCGGAGGCCTTTGGCGGGGCCCAAGACGCGATCGCCGCCCGTCCAATCCTGGTCCTGGCCACACGAGCCAGAGATGGTGCCGGGACAGGAGCTCTCTCACTGCGCGTGGTGGCCCGTGGTGCGCAATATAGGGTGGCATTCGGCCTGTCGTGCCACCATGCCGGCGTCGAGGTCAAGGGACCTCTTGGGTGCCATTTCGTAAGGGGCCTCTCGGCGGGCCACCGTTCCGCACGCTCTTAATAGTGGGGAACCGAGAGTGCGAGCGTCATACATATATATACACATATATATATACACATATATATATATATATATATATATATAAGCATGAGGTGTGACAGCGGTTTTGGCCTTCTCTCTCGGGTTGGCCTACAGAGGGCTTGCAAGACGGCCCGACAGGCTCCCGAGAGGCCCTCAAGGGGCCCCATCGGAGCCATCTCGGGACACGTGGCAGTCATGCCTCCGAGGCGTCGGGGAAAGCTACGCGGCGAGCCGCGAGCGTCCAAGAGCGCCTGCGAGCTCCGCGAGCTTTGGGGTCAGGGTCCTTCAAGGGTGTGGACAGCCTTCAGCATCGAACATCGGAGGGGACTTTAGGACACTCCGCCCAGTGCCTCGCGGCAGGATGGTGAGTTCTTCGGCCTGGCGGACAGAAGACGCATCGGTCACTCATGTTTCTAGTGCCTCGCAGTTGAATCGGGCATGCTGTTCTCCTGCCCCTCCACCTTCTCCTCCGCCTCCCTTTTCTGGCTCCTTTTCCTATCTTCCCCTTCGCTGCTTTCGTCCCCGCAGTCGCCATCGCTTTTGTTTTTGTCCTCCCGATGACAGACGTGGCCTCAGACGTAACCAGGGCTCGTTTTTCTCCCCGTGTCTTCTGGCAGGATCGGACCTACCGAATCGACATGCCCAAAGGGGCCAAGGAAGGTTTCTTGTCAGAGTTCAAGCAGAAGGGTAGCCACCACAAGGACAGCTGGCATCCTTTTTGCATGATGAGAGAGAGAGGGAAGGCCGAGGGCAGCTGATGGGGGACGAGAGACGAGGGGGATTATGATGACGAATTTTGAGGTGGATGAGGCAAGGGAGGGATGAGGAGGATCAGGCGGAGAAGGAAGGCGGTTAGGAACATAAAATTATGGAATTCGAGAAGGGGGCGGAGGAGGAGGAGGAGGAGGAGGAGGAGGAGGAGGAGGAGGAGGAGGAGGGGAGGAGGAGGAGGAGGAGGGAGGAGGAGGAGGAGGAGGAGGAGGAGGAGGAGGAGGAGGAGGAGGAGGAGGAGGAGGAGGAGGAGAGGGAACGCCCTGCCCTGCGTAAGGGGCAAGGGACGGAGACCATTCAAGTCGAACTTTCAAGCTGCTGGCGCTGTAGGACAGGACCTCTCAGGAGCGTCGACCCCTCCCCATCTCCACTACTTCCCTCCTCCTCCTCCTCCTCCTCCTCCTCCTCCTCCTCATCCTTCTCTCCTCCGTCGTCCTCCTTTTCTCCTTAGTCATCCTCCCTCCTCATGCGAAGAACGCCCTGCCGCACCACCTGACGTGTCCGTCATAGGCCAGTCTAGGCATCCTGAAGTTCAAGTTTTCCAACAGTTAAACAGATGAGCGACGCAAGAAAACGGCCGTCTACGCCGACATTGGCACGTAAGCTGCTTGCGCAAGGCCGCGCGTAAGCGCCCTCGTCTTCAATGTGGCATGCCACGCTGGCGGCCCGCGTAAGCTACCGCGAAAGGTCGCTATTTCATCTCGCGTAAGACCCGTTTTTGATCGTCGCTCAGATGGAGGCCAGTACGTTTTGCAAGCTTTTGCGGAGGTTACACGGAAGAGTGAAGGCGAACGAGGAAATCCAGCCGCGAACCGGGAAATTCGGTCCCGAACGGGGAAAATTCTCGGTCGAACGGGGATTTTTTTTCCGGGCGAACGGGGATTCTCAGGAGGCTCCTGGGAAATTGTTCCGGTCGAGCGTTTTTTTTTCGGTTCAGACATTTTTTTGGCCGACGGAGGATTGGTTTTTGATGCTGTCACGTGTGCTTCTGGATGCAGGCTGCCCTAGACATGGAAATCGCTGGGGGGCACGGGCGGGTGCATTCGGCTGTAGATTTCGAACTTCGGACTAGTTCTTCAGTGTCAGTTTCCATTTCCGTAGTCCCATCTAGGATCCACTTTCGGGGCTTCCGAGGGGAGCGCTGGGTCCTCCACTCATCCAGGGGCGACCAGCAGGTGAGTTGCCCTAGTGTTGAAAACTTTGCTCGCGGCATTGATTTTCAGGCAGGGTACAGTTCTCCTTCCTAGGGCAAGGGCTCCTGCCGAGCGGGGCGCTCCAGAAATGGCCTCGCCTTGCGAGGGGAGTTGCCATGTCTTCCGCGGTGAGAGAGGCGGAGGAGGAGGAGGAGGAGGAGGAGGAGGAGAAGGAGGAGGAGGCGGAGGAGGAGGAGGAGGAGGAGGAGGAGGAGGGAAGGGGGGGAGGAGGAGGAGGAGGAGGAGGAGGAGAGGAGGAGGAGGAGGAGGAGAGGAGGAGAGGAGGAGGAGGAGGAGGAGGAGGAGGAGGAGGAGGAGGAGGAGCGAGGAGGAGGAGGAGGAGGAGGAGGAGGAGGAGGAGGGGCGGCGGAAACCCGCGGAGGGAAGACGAGGCCGCCTCCGCCAGCGGGCGCCGGCGGAAGACAGGCGGAGGCCGGCGGGGGTAAAAGAGGCGCCCCCACCGGGGGCGGCAGAGAGGGGGGTGATGACAAGGGGGGAGTGGACATTAGAACGACGCGAAGATCGGGACAAAATCGGATCGGGATAACTCGAAATCTCCGAGAATCGGCGGGTTTGGAGGATGTATTGGGTGCCGCGGTCGCTCCAGAGCGTTCCGGAACGCTCTGAGAGCGCTCCGGAACGCTCTGGAGGGATTTATCCCGATCCTAGCCCTGTTTTAATCATGGCGGAGGCCATGATACCTCCCCAGATTTCATGGCGCCTCTTCTTATTTCAGTACGTCCCTGGGCCCCCCCTGGGCCGCGCACATGCCGCCTGCCATGATTTGCGTCCCCCCCCCTCTCTGGGCCGCCCCCGACCCCAACCGGGCCACCGCCCTAAAATTGACAACTCGAGGTGGCCGAGAGTTCTTGGAACAAAAAGGGGAGAGTTTTCAAACTTCGGGCAGGCGTGTGTTATTCGGACGTTCGCTGTGCACTTTCATTCAGGAGGGGAAAAAACACACAGACACAATTAATCGTCGATTTCCCCGAAAATATGGGAAAATATGGAGAGTGGTGGGGAAGACAAAAACCCAGAAAATATAGGAAAATATGGGGAATCTTTTTATTTGTGTGTATTTATTTGTGTGTCCCAGTTTCCCTTCATTCATGTAGTCGTCGTGTGTCAGCAGAGGGAGGTTCGAAGGCTGGAGAGGGGGTCTAGAGCAACGATTGCGCTTGCAGGGCTCCGTGTGATTCGCGGGCGTTCGGGTTTCTCTCTGTGGTGTGTTGAGGCTTCCAGCAGCTGTTTCCTGTTCCAGCGTCCGTAGGTTTCCTCGTTCCACGGCTCTTTGTAATAATGTGATGGGTTGTTCGTTTGCGTAGCGTTCGCCCGATCCACATCAATGCCCTGAAGTTGAACACTGGGGATGGCCGAAGTTCTTCGGGAAAAAAGGGAGAGTTGTCAAACTTAGGGCAGGCATGTGCTATTCAAGTGCTCGCATTGCATTATTCAATTGCTTCGCTCATTCCGCCGGCCCATATTGTAGCATCGCTGGCACTTGCTTGCGTGCTCGGGGGGCATTTCGGGGGCCTCCTGGGGCCGCTTGGGGGCCTCTTGGGTTCCTCTTGGGCGCCTCCTGAGGGCCTCTTGGGGGCTTCTTGGGGCCTCTAAGGGGCCTCTTGGGGCCTCCTGGGGGCTTCTTAGGGCCGAGGGCTCGAAATGTTGTTTCGTGTTCCCCCTCTTGGGGCCCCTCTTGGGGCCCTCTTGGGCCGTCTTGGAGGCCTCTTGGGCTGTCTTGGAGCCCTCTTGGGCCGTCTTGGGGCCCTCTTGGGGACCTCGTGGGCCCTCTTGGGTCGATCTTGGGGGCCTCTTGGGCCGTGTTGGCGCCGAAAAGGTGGAAACGCCCAAATCTCTCCAACACCTAAGGGAAACATTGAATTTTGCCTCTTGGGGCCCTCTTGGGAGTGCTCTTGGAGGCCTCTTGGGACTTCTGAGGGCCATCTTGGGCGTCTTGGAGCGATCTTGTGGGATTTCCGAACCTCTCGTGCCATCTTGAGGGCCTCTTGGATGTATCTTGGCCCTTCTTGGGGCTCTCTGGAGAACCTCGAGGGCGGCGTCCTGGAGGAAAACCATCTCTGATCTGAGTCTGCCGGGATCGTCTCGGGGTACTTGTCGCCCGGGGACCCCCCGGGGGCCGCCCCGCGCGCGCGAAGTAGGAATATTGTAAAGTAGTCACAGGAGATCTTAGCACGCCTCTGGCCCGTTGGGCCGGAGAATTGTGTGGTCGTTGTCTACAGGACGAGGGAAGTTCACAGGCTGTCATGTTGACAGGGCTCGTTGTTTTTCGCGGGCGTTCGGGTTTCGCTCCGTGGTGCTTGGAGGTTGCAGGCGGGAGTTTCCTATTCCAGCGTCCGTACGTTTCCTCGTTCGACGGCTCTTGTAATCATGTGGTGGATTCTTTTTGGGCGTAATGTTCGCCCGGTCAACGGCTACCGCCCTAAATTAAGGGGTGGCCGAGACTTGTTGGGACAAAGGGGATGGTTTTCAAACCTAGGGCAGGCGTGTGTTATTCAGGTGTTCGCTTTGCATTATCATGTAGCCGTTGTGTATCGGCAGAGGAGGGTTCGAAGGCTGGGGAGGGGGGCTGGAGAAACGATTACGTTTGCAGGGCTCGTTGCGTTTCTCGGGTGTTCGGGTTTCGCTCCGTGGTGTGTACAGGTTTCCAGCAAGAGTTTCCTGTTCCAGCGTGCGTAGGTATCCTCGTTCCACGGATCTTGTAATTATGTGATGAGTCTGTTTTTGTTGTCGCGTTCGCCCGGTCAACGGTTCTTGCCCCGTAGCTGAAAAGTTGGCGTGGCCGAGAGCCGTTCCGAAACGTGGGAGTTTTGAACACTAGGACGGGCCTGTGTTATTCAGGCGTTGGCTTTGCATTCTCAGGTGATCCTCGTGTATTGGAAGAGGGATGATTCGAAGGCTGGGTGGGGTCTCGAGGAGGCCTGCGTCTGCACGGCTGTTTTTTTTTTCCGCGGGCGCTCGGGCTTCGCTCCGTGGCGTGTGGAGGTTTCCAGCAGGAGTTTCCTGTTCCAGCGTCCGTAGGTTTCCTCGTTCGACGGCTCTTGTTATCATGTGATGTGCTGTTCTTTGGCGGAGCGTTCGCCCAGTCGACGGGTATTGCTCTTGAATCGAAGATTCGTGGTGGCGAACGCTCTTCGGAAGATGGGGAGTCTTCAAAATTAGGGCAGGCGTGTGTTATTCAGGTGATCATTTTGCATTATTACGTAGTCGTTGCGTATCGGACGAGGGAGGTTCGAATACTGGGTTGGGTCTAGGAAAGCGACTTCGTTTACAGGACTCCTTCTTTCTCGCGGGCGTTCGGGTCTCGATGGCATTGATGAGATGAGGTCCCCTTTCTGGAGGTTTCCAACCGGAGTTTCGTGTTCCAGCGTCCGTAGGTTTCTTCGTTCGATCGGAACATGTCTCCGCTTGCCCGAGATAGTTCCCTCGTGAGGCCCAGAAAAATGCCCCGCTCGCCCGAAATACTTTCCTCGTTTGGTCTGGAGTTTTTTTTTGGTTCGCCGGGACACATTCTCCGTTCGCCCGCCGAAGCTTCCTCGTCCGACCGATTTCTTTTCCCTTTCGCCTGTCGACCACACGGACGAGGGCTGGTCGGGCATTTCGGAGTGGCTCTCGCCTGCGACCTCTGCAGCCAGTGCCACCACGAGTGTACCACAAGCGGTGCAGCGCTTGCACGAATGTGTGTGTGTGTGCTGTGTGTGTGTGTTGTGTGTGTGTGTTGTGTGTGTTGTGTGTGTTGTGTGTTGTGTGTGTGTGTGTGTTGTGTGTGTTGTGTGTGTGTGTTGTGTGTGTTGTGTGTGTGTTGTGTGTGTGTTGTGTGTGTTGTGTGTGTGTTGTGTGTGTGTGTGTGTTGTGTGTGTGTGTTGTGTGTGTGTGTTGTGAGTGTGTGTTGTGTGTGTGTTGTGTGTGTGTGTGTGTGTGTGTGTGTGTGTGTGTGTGTGTGTGTGTGTGTGTGTGGGTCTTCTTCGAGGTCAGGCTCTCGCTCGAGCGCTCGCTCGAGCTCCCCCGCGAGGCCTCTCCCAGGAATCAGCGGCGCCCTGATCTCGAGCTCTTGCCCGTGCAGCGGCTCTGCGCGGGGGGAGGGCGGGCCTCCTTCCCACGACCGGGCCCCCCCCGCGGGACGGTGCCGCGGCCCGCCGCGGCGAGGAGCGTACGGTAGGTTTGCGTCGTGTCGACCAGCGGCGATCCCAGCGCGGGCGTTCAAGGTTGAACGCCGCCGGCGACACAGAATCGATCGATGTTGAACGATCGGACGTTGCGGCAGCGGCCGATCGTTCAACGTTGAACGATCCCTGCGGTGTCAAAAACCAACGCTGGGGTCGGCACGACACGAACCTGCCGTACACCCTCGGCGATGCGTGAGAAAACCTACGTTTTCGGCCAGAGTCTCGATTCTTCTTAGTGTTTCCATGCAGATCCCATGATTTTGGATCGAAGCGCTGGGTTTTTGCTGCGCAGGTTCTGAGAGCATGCATTTCTCAGCCCATGATTTCTGGAGCGCTTCGCAGGGTGTAAGCAGGTGCGCCAGTCTCGCGAAACGGGGGGGCGGCGCCTTTTCCAAAGGGGGCTGTCCTCAGATACAGCCCACCCGCACAGTAAGGACATGCAATTTCTCCGAGGGTACCCTGTGCATCCTCGCCTCCTCGGCCCACCCTCGGCCACTCTCGCTGGCCGCGCCCCGCCCGAGAAGCCTCGAGGCGGCCCTCCAGTGCCTTTGCACTCTGATCGTGCCTCCCTCCAATGCGGGTCGGCTGCACTTCGTCGACCCAAGATCTTGGACCCTGCCTCGCCGCATCCCCCGGGCGCCCGGCCGGAGGGGCGCGCGGCGCGGCTCCTCGCCCTTCAAAAGAGGGGCCCTCGCCCGAGAGCGGCGGGGCCCGGAGGGGCGCTCGCCCGCCAACGAGGGGGGCGCCTCTTGTGGTGACGTGGAGGGCCTGCGGCGTCTTACGCGGAGGGTCCTCCTCCTCCTTCTCCTCCTCCTCCTCCTTCTCCTCCTCCTCCTTCTCCTCCTCCTCCTCCTCCTCCTTCTCCTCCCCCTCCTCCTCCTCCTCCTCCTCCTCGGGCTCGGGGCAGGGGGGGCGTGCACCGCAGCATCGTTGCTGCATCTTGGGTTCACTGCCGCCCTCCCTCCTCGCCCCCCTTCCCCGCTCCCCCAGCGTTCCCTCCTGTGCGTTCTCCCTCCTCCGTCCCCCTCCCGGCCTCCTCGCTCGTGCATCTGCTCTCTCCTTTGCTCCATCTCGCTTCCCTCTTCTCTCTCTCTCTCTCTCCTCCCTCCTCCCTCTCCTCTCCTCCTTTCTCCCTCTTCCCTCTTATCTTCTCCCTCCTTGTTCGCTTCCTCTCTCCTTCCTCTTCCCTCTCTCATCCTCCCTCCTTCTCTCCTCCCTCCCCACTCTTTCTGTCCTCCCTCCTCCCTGCTTTGTTCCCTCTTCGTCGTCGTCCTCATTCTCTCCTCTCCACCTCTTCCAATCCCTCTCACCTCCTGAGTTGTTTGATGGAGTGAGGCAGCTTAGCATCCTCTACTTGGTCGTGGTCTGGGTCGCCACTGGTGCCTTCGAGACATCTCCAGTGCGCGCGCGCGTATTTTCCCCTGGGCTTGCGCGGGCATGATCGCACGCGTGAGGGGGCACAGCTCGCTCCCGTAGCGTCGTGATCGGCGTGAGCTGACCTCTTCTCCCACCTCCTCGCGCTTGGTGTGCCTTTCTGAAAGGCGGTGGTGTCCCCATAGCCAGTGGCAGCTCGTGCGAAAGTGTGTGTGTGTGTCTGGGAGAGAAGAGAGAGAGAGAGAGAGAGAGAGAACACAGCATCCTCACCTCTCCAGCGTTCCTCGCTCCTCCTCGCTCCTCCCCCTCTCTTCTCCATCTCTTCTCCGTCCTCTCTCTGCCCTCCCCCCTCCTCATCTTCTTTTCTCCCTCTCAGCTCTCGCTCTCCTCTCTCTCTCTCTCTTTCTCTGTTCTCTGGTTATGTGGCGTTCCTCCTCATCAGTTTTTCTTCCTATCTTTATCCCTTCCTCCCCTCTCCACATTTGACTGGTCCGCTTCTTGATGCTGATGCCCCCCCTTGTGCCTGTGCAGCTTTGCCTCCCGTCCTTTCTTCTCTCGGGTTGCTGCAGGGCTCGCGCCACCGCCTCCGCCTCGGTCGGGACCTGGGGGGGCAGCACGTCATTCGTCACAGCTGCGGGCCCTTGAGGGCGGGCCGAGCTTCCCCGCCCACCGCCCTCCAGGGGCCCCGGAGGAGGAGGAGGAGGAGGAGGAGGAGGAGGAGGAGGAGGAGGAGGAGGAGGAGGGAGGAGGGAGGAGGGAGGAGGGAGGAGGGGGAGGAGGAGGGGAGGGAGGGAGGGAGGGAGGGAGGAGGGAGGAGGAGGGAGGGAGGGAGGGATGGGAGAGGGAGGGAGGGAGGGAGGTAGGGAGGGAGGGAGGAGGGAGGAGGAGGAGGAGGAGGAGGAGGAGGAGGAGGAGGAGGAGGAGGAGGAGGAGGAGGAGGAGGAGGAGGAGGAGGAGGAGGGAGAAGGAGGTCATCCAACAGCTGTTGCGGCGCAGCTCTCCCGGCCGTGCCCGTGCCCCGGGGTGACGGGGAGGACCGGCGCCCGGACACCCTCGTGTTCACGGTCGCCGCCAAGGTCGCCCGCGGCTCCCGCGCGGCTCTCGCCTCCAGGCTACCCAGAGAGTCAATGCAGTGAAAGAATCACACCAGATCGGGCGAAGAGAATTATGCACATGCACCGATCCTGGCAAGGCCCATCTTTGACCCAGGATCGGTGCATATGCCTTCCTGGCCAAGGTAGGAGGGCGTATGCACCGATCCTGGGCTCAGGATGGGCCTGACCAGAATCGGTGCATGTGCATAGTTCTTTTTCCTCTACCAGATTGATCGATTAGGTGATCGATCAGTCAGTGGATGGTTTGATCGATTAGGTGATCGATCGGGAGCCCGGGAACTTGGAACCCACCGAGATCGGCCCGGAACCAACAACCGGGGACCCGGGAGCCCGGGACCCGGGAACCCAGCCGGCCACCAAAATCGGCGGGACATTTTCGCCAGATTTGTCGATTTCCGCTAGGACCCCTGCAGTGCAAGCACTGATTGGGGAATCAAGATGGATGTTTTTTGCAATTTTCAGCCGGGGCCCTCGCCGGGCCCCGGGGCCGTTAAAAAACGGCTCGGGAGGAAGAGCCGGTCCCGGGGAATGGGTTGAGACTTTTGGGGACCGCGTATTGACAAAAACCACGACATCGGATCTCTGAGTAGTAGCCCTCCAAGATGGAGTCGGAGCAGAAAGGGTCGGAGGCCTCAAAATCTGTACCTCTGCCTGCGCTGACACTTCTCTTCGACGACGCCTCTGGTCAACCACCGCCGCCCCATGCTTTTGTGGAAGACCCTTCTGTCTGATAAATCGGTGTTCCCCCAGGTGCCGTCGGGACGACTGGTGGAACACAGAGGTCCAGAGTCAGTGGCTGTCTTGAGGCTCTTTTGGGGCCTTCTTGTGGCGGCCTCTTTGTGCCCTCTTGGATTGTCTTGGAGGCCTTCTGGGTCATCTTGGGGCACTCTAGTACTCGGGCCCCTCAAGGCTGTTTTGGGTGCTGTCTTGGGGCCTCTTGGGCAGTCTTGGTGATCTCTTCGACCGTCTTGAGCCTCTCGGGAGGCCTTCTCGGGGTCTCTTGGGCCCCTCTTGCGCCGTCTTAGGCCCCTCTTGCTGCGTCTTGGGGCTCTTTCAGCGCTTGTTGGGTCGACCGTGGGGGTCACTTGGGGCTTCACGGGCTTTCGTGACCCCCCGAAAGCGAGTATGCAACACTTGTTAAAGTACACAAGGTGCTTGATTTTATGGTCTCTACACCATGTGGGCCTAAATGGTGTCCGCTTGAGGCCCTTTTTGTGCTTTTTGGGAGCCTTTTGGGCCGGGCCATCTTGGGGCCGTCTTTACGGTCGCCTTGGGCCGTTGTGGAGCCACCTCGGGGACCAGTTAGGGCCATCTCGGGCGAACGTGGAGGCGTCTTGGAGGTCAGCTGGGCCCGAGACGCCAGCGAGATGGTCCGGCAGGGCTCAGCGGCAGAGGGCCGGAGGGGCCTTCGGGGAGGTCTGGTGAGGCCCCGCTCGGTAAACCACACGTCAACTCGAGACTCGGTGCGCTGGGCAACCCTTCGGGAAGACCGCAGGGGCTGGCGGATCCGACTGGCTTGCTGGCATGGCTTGCCGGTTGGATGGTCGCCACTTCGGCTGGTTGGCTGGCTCCCGAGCTGGCTGGTTGGCAGGTTGGCAGGCTGGTTGGATTGCAGGAGGAGGAGGAAGAGGGGGAGGAGGGGGAGGAGGAGGAGGAGGAATACGACGATGAGGGGGGGCTCAGGATACCCTGAGGCGTCGGTGTGATTCGAAGAAAAGACAGATTTGCACAAACCGTGTTAAGCTCCGCGCGGATCTCTTGAGTCGGCGCTGGGCCTTGCTGGCGGCGCCTCCAGCGCTGGCCTTGCCTCGCTCCGCGCGCCAGGGAGGGGGTCCAGGTCAAGCGTCGACCCGAACAATCCGTGCGGACCGCCGACAGGTTAGGCTTGTTTTGTTTTTCTTGCCCTGTGCGCCCGAGGCTTCACTACGGTGCTCCGCGGCTCTCTCGTCGCTAAACGTGAGTCTCGGTCTTGCTCCGGTGCCTGGCGGGGACGATGCTCGGCACGGGTTCAGGGCCCTGTGCTTTCTGGAATGACGGAGCTGTTGCAGGAGTATGCGAGGAGGCAACAAGCCGACCGCCAGGCGGGAAGTGCGATTGGCGGTGCTGTCGGGACGGGAATGGGAATGGTGGGTGAGGCAACGTAGGGTGGCGATAATAGCGATGGTTGCAATGGCGATGATGATTATTGCTGATGATGTTGTCTTTGATGACCGCGATGACGAGGATGATGCTGATTGTGTTGATGGTGCCGCGATGGTAATTTCCTTCCCTTCTCACTCCTCCCCGTCCGCTCATGGCTGAATCGCGACTTATCTTACCAGTTGTGAAGCTTTGATGCGATTCGAGCGAGCACTGCATTGTGGTTATCGGACTTCCTCCGTGGGCTCCGTGTCGTCATTATCAGCATCCTCATCAGCATCTTTATCACCACCAGCACCATCAATACCATCATCACCATCATCATCACAGTCTTCATCATCATCATCATCGTCGTCGTCGTCGTCGTCATCGTCATCATCACAATCACCATCTTCATCACTATCATCACCAGCATCACCATCATCACCCTCATCACCATCATCACCATCACCATAAGCACCATGATCATTGCCATCATTTCCACAGTCATCACCAACATCCGTCATCATCGCCACCACCAGCACCACCGTCATACTCATCACTATCGCCATCGTCATATCATCAACCCTACTATCATTGCCACCATCACATCATCCTCATCCTCCTGACCATTCTCATCTCACCCTCCCTTCGCCTGTCCATCCCGCTCTCCATCTCCTGCCTCCTGTTCCGTCCAGTCACCGCCTTTCACCTTTCCTCCACCCTGTGCCTCCCTCCTTCCATCTTGCATCTGCCATCCCTCTGCTGCTCCCCCATCCTCCATCCTTCCTCCTCCTCCACCCTCCTCCATCCTCCTCCCATCTCCCTCCCTCGTCCTTTATCCTCCTTCATCGTCCTCGTAGTCGTCCTCTTCCGTCAGCTCCTCCTCCGCCTCCTGGACTCCCAGGAGCACGAGCTGCTCTCCCGCAAGGGCAACGACCTGCACATGCGCTTCCCGCTGGAGCCAACCGGTGATGTGAGTGACCCGCCCTAGAAGCGAGTTCTTTCCCTCCCTCTCTGGCTCGAGCCTTCGAGCTCTCGAGGCCAGACACGATCGGCACGACAAGACAGCGGGGGTGGGCACTGGCCCAGGGAGGCGGCGACGTGAGGGACGGGTGGGAGGGGCAGCGATCGTGCCTGGCTCGCCTCTCCCCGCCTGCCCCTGCCCGCCATTTGCCCCTCCCCCTCCTCCGCCCCCGCTCCTTCCCCCTCGCAGAGCTCACACTGTAGTCGGGCTAGCGGCGGTGTAGGTAACGGCAGTGCAGGTCTCGGTGGTGTGGGAACGCATGTCTCGCGCTTGCCTGCAATTCGCCGTGTCGTGTCCGCTCGAGCCGCCCGCATATCGGAAGCGGAGGGACGTGTGGTTCGTGCTTTCCTGCACTGTGGTTCCCCACGTCACCGTTGAGCAGCATCGCCGTTAGCCCGCCCTTGGTCACATCAGTGCAGCGCAGCGGCCGCGGAGCAGCCAGCCCCAACCGGATGCCCCGAGCTGCCCGCGTCGGACGCCCAGCCCGCTCTCGAGTCGGGCCTTCCTCGCGGGCGCGAGGCCTGCAGCCACAGGTGGAGCCGTCGGCCCCGTCGGGCCTGGACCCGAAAAGGCTGCGGAGTCCCGGGCATCCTCGCGTCGTGGCAAAATCACTCGAAGAAGAACCAACGCTGTAAGCATAAGCTTTTGGCGCTCCGCGCGGATTTCCTGCATCCGCGCTGGGCTCCCCTCGGCGGCGCCGGAGGCGCCGCCCCTGGCGCGCTCGAAGCGCCAGGCAGGGGGTCCAGCGCAGATCCAAGAAAGCCGCGCGGAGCGCCAAAAGTTTATGTTTATGGCGTTTCTTCTTCTTCTTCTTCTTCTCATCGCGGCGGGAGGTCTTGGGCTGCTTTCGGCCTGTGGGGGCCCTTGCCCAGGCCTCCAGGGGCCCTTGCCTTCTCTTCCTCGCTTGGGATGAGGAGCCGGTTTCTGGGGCCACGTGGTGAACGCACCACGGCGTCGGATGTTTCGGGAGGGGGCCCGCGAGCGCACGAAGAGGGGGCCCACCGTTCGGTCCGGTCCGATCCCTCCGGCCGGCCCGAGACTGAACGGCGCTGCCTGCGAGAGCGAAGGGGCGGCGTGACGCGAGACGTGGTGCTTGAGGAGGGACGCTTGGTTGCGAGAGTGGGCGACCCAGAGATTCGATGTCTTGCTTTTCTCCGTGCGGATTCCCCGGTAGTCTCGACCCACTCCTGGGGACGGGTTCTTCATCCCAGGTCGTTTCTTCACGCCCCTAGGGCCCGGCGAGGGCCTTCAGAAGCCGAAAATTCCGAGGCGGGGATTGATCCATAGCCACCGCCTTGGGGATCGATCTTCGCAGCCCTTCGCAGGCGGTTGATATGGACATACTCGAGCCCTGGCGGCCAAACTATACCCACATCCACCGCCCGCGGGGTCCCCACGGCGTCGGTTCCTGGGCGGTGGACACGGGTAGATCCCCGCCTCGCATAAACGGCGAAACAATTTTCGCCTTGATGTTCTCAGCTCGTTGGGCCCGGACAAGCTGCCGGCGGCTCAGAGGCAGGCCCGCGGCACCTGGGCGGCGCGACTCGCGCCCGCGGGGGGCTCCCGACCCGAACGATGGCCCCCTGAGATCCGAACCTGCAAGCAGAAGATCTCCTCCTCCTCCTCCTCCTCCTCCTCCTCCTCCTCTCCTCCTCCTCCTCTTCCTCCGCCTCCTCCTCCTCCCCTCCCCTCCCCCTCTCCCCCTCCCCCTCCCTCTCCTCCTCCTCCTCCTCCTCCTCCTCCTCCTCCTCCTCCTCCTCCTCCTCCTTCTCCTCCTCCTCCTCCTCCTCGGCTGGAGAGCCTCCGGGAACGGGCGACAGGGCGGGACAGCGCAGACCTTCCCCAGGATCTCAGGGAACGGCCCGCTCCTTCGGCGTCGCGTCCTGGGGGGGGCGATGAATGGGGGGGGGGCAGCGAGGGCTGCAGACAAGGGTCCTTTGAGAGCCCCTAGAGCGGCCGTTTATGGTTCAAAAGGAGGCATTTGGGGTGCGAAAAGTGCACTTTTCTCTCCCCCCATTTTCCGATAAGTCGGGCATGTCCTCTACAGGGAGAAAATTCAGAGCTAGTTACAAAATAGTCAGGTGACGATTTTTCGATTCTTTTTGATCATTTGTTGACTATATTTTGTTCTTGACTATTTTTAATGTTCCTTCATTTTTGAGGACATGCCCGACCTGAATTTAACTTCCCCTCATAAAAAAACGATGCCCAAGATCCGCCGAGGGGGAGCGTATCGGCTACTCGTAAGAGTCAGGAGCCGTGTGAGACGACGGCGGTGCGACAACGGCGGCTAAAATCTGCTTAATCGGTCCGCTAACCTCTCCCTGGGTCCAAGCGCACCAGCTGCTTCCAGCCGTGGCGACGAGGGGCCCCCCAGAGGGGCAAAAAGGCAGCCCTTGTCTGAGAGAGCGCGTTCTGTGGTCGCTGGGAGGGGGTGGTGGTGGTGGTTTGGAACCGGACCCCCCCCCCGCCCTGGATGGAGGGTGGGGGTTTCGACCCCCCCCCCCCGTGACGGAGGGGGAGGGTTCGAACCCCGCCCCCCCTTCCCCTAATGACTTCTCCTCTGTCCCTCTCCTCGGGCCGGCGCCGGCGGCGGCGGCGGCTGGCGGCGAGGTATTGGCGGTGGTGGTGGTGGTGGTGGTGGTGGTGAGGTGGTTTGTGGTGGTTGTGGTGGTGGTGGTGGTGGGTTGTGCTGCTGGTAGTAGTGGTGGTGGTTGTGGCGGTGGTGGTGATAGTGTGGTAGATTGTGGTGATGGTGGTGGTAGTGGTGGTGGGTTGTTGTATTGGTGGTGGTGGTGGTGGTGGTGGTGAGCTGTTGGTGGTGGTGGTGGCTGTGGTGGTGGAGGCTTTGTGGTGGTTTGGTGGTGGTGGTGGTGGTGGGTTGAGGTGGTGATGGTGGTGGTCGTTGTGGTGGTGGCGGTGGGTTGTGGTGGTGGCGTGGTGGTTTATGGTGGTGGTGGTGGAGGTGGTGGGCTGTGGTGTTGTTGGTGGTGGTGCTGCTGCTGGTAGTGGTGCTGGTGGTGGTGGGTGGTGGGTGGTGGGTGGTGGGTGGTGGTGGTGGTGGTGGTTGTGGTGGTGGTGTGGTGGTTTGTGGTGGTGGTGTTGGTGGTGGGTTGTGTTGATGGTGGTGGTTGTGGCGGTGGTGGGAATGGTGGTGAAATTGTGTGGTGGTTTGTGGTGGTGGTGGTGGTGGTGGTGGTGGGTTGAGGGGGGTTGTGGTGGTGCTGTTGGTGGTGGCTTTTTTTTTGTGGTGGTGGTGGTGGTGAGGTGGTTTGGGGATGGTGGTGGTTGCGGTGATGGTGGGTTGTGGTGGTTGTGGTGGTGGTTGTGGTGGTGGCGGGTGGTGGTGGTGGTGGTGGTTGTGGTGGTGGTATGGTGGTCTTTGGTGGCGGTAGTGGTGGTGGTGGTGGTGTGGCATTCGGCTCTTCCCGTCATTGTGTTTTGGCAAAGGGTCAGAGTTCTACATGATGCCTCTTGAGGTCTCGTCAGATGGGTCTCGGGGGCGTCTGAGGAGCATGCGAGGGCTCGATATGGCGATTTGTGTGTTCCCTCTGCGGCCTCTGGGCCCTCTCTGGTCATTGTCGCTGCGTCCCCGCCGTCGGCGCTGCTGGCCGCCGCCAGCGCCGGCGCCAGCGCCGGCGCGGGTGTGTGTGTTTGACCCCCCCCTCTCCTCGGCTCTTTCTGGTCATCGTCGCTGCGTTGGCGCTACGGCGGCCGCCAGCGCCGGCGCCGGGGGGGGCGGGGTTTGGACCCCCCCCCTCTTTGGGAAGGAGAGGGGGGGTTCGGGATGAGGGGGGTTAGGGGGGAGGGGAGTCCCCCTGGTTCTGATCGACTGCGGCGAGTGTTGGGGGGGGGCCCACCCCCTGGCCCGAGACTCGCTGCCGAATGTGCCCAAGGCAAGCGCCCGTGAAACGCGTTCCGTCCCTTGTCTCAACGCGCCTCCTTCCGAGACATGGCGAGGAGTCACGACCGGAGCCCCGGACCCCCATTCCTCTTGCAGCATGTTGCGAGCCTGACCGAGCCGTGGTGGTCCCCGGGCCCCGAAGCAGGGCGGCAACGCCCCGCGCAACAAAAAAGTCGCAAACGCCCGGATCTGACCAGCGTCGGGGAAACGTAAGACTCGAGTAAGCCAGAACTCGGGGTCGCCGACGTTTTTTGACGAGCGCGTCGTGGATTTTCACGGTCCAGCTTTCGTGGGATGTCTGCAGCGGGAGCTCGCGTCAAGCTTCAGATGGGGTCTCGTCATTTTTTATGATGGCCCCGTCAGGCCAACCCGAGTCCCCCGTACCCGAGTCTTACGTCTCACCGACAGAGCTCCGATATCGTAATTTTTGAATGCGGGGTCCCTGGAAGTCTTGGAGGTCCTGGGGCCTGGCGAGGGCCCCCAGGGGCAGAGAGAATAGTACAGAGCCGTCCGTCGTGATGTTTCCTTGACCGGATGGGGGTCTGGACAGGGACCGGCCCGATCCGCGAGGAGGGAAATACGGCCCCGCCGTCTTTGCATCGATGCGAAGTTGGGCGAAAGCGCCTGGTGTGAGAACAATCATGCAACGCCCGGATCTCTGCGATCGTCGGGGGAAACGTAAGACTCGAGCACGCCAGAACTTGGGTTTGCTGACGCTTTTTGACGAGCCCGCCCTGGATTTTGGCGGTCCAGCTTTTGTGTGGGACGTCTGCAGCTCGAGCATGCATCAAATTTCAGACTGGGGCTTATTATTTTCCTGACAGTCACGTCAGGCCAACCCGAGTCCCCCGAACCCGAGTCTTACGTCTCCCCGACGGAGGTCTGGGTTTCAGGCCATCGTTTGGGCCTCCGGCGGCCGCTCGGGACGATGGGGGCACCACCCGATTCACCCGATCGCCCTCGGCGAGGCACAGTTGCCAGAGAGCCTCCCGAGGCTGGAGAACCTCCGGGAACCGACGACAACGCGAGAAAACGCAGACTTTCCCCCAGATCTCAGGGACCAGCCCAGTCCGCCGGGGTGGGGGGGAATCGGCTACTCGTAAGATCGGGGGCGGCCTAAACGACCCCTAGCAAACCATCCCCTTCCGTGACGTCCCCCTCGCCTCGCCCCAAGACGTATGTATGCGGCCGTAGGGAAGCTTGAAAGGCGACCGTGACGTCACGGAAGGGACGGTTTGCTAGGTGTCGGTTAGGCCGCGTGCGAGGGGGAGAAATCGGCTTCTCGTAAGGGCCTTCGCTGCAGTGACCTTTGGTGCGGGCCCACGGTGGTCTCCCGAGCACTGCACTGGCTTGCGCGCCGCGCACCAATCAGGGGCAACGGCTGGGGGGCAGGCATAGGGGCTGATGCATCGACCCCAATCGATCGCCGACAGGTGTCTGATAGCCCCACCCTGCCCAGGAAGGTGCGGATTCGCTATCGGCGGCCTATCGCCGATCCATCGGCGATGCATCGCCGACTCCAGGTCGATGCTCTCCCACCCTATGCCAGTCCCCCCCCCTATCTTTGCCCCTCGACCAAGAGCCACTCTTGCCTAAGGCCACTCCTGCGTGCAGCCGGCCCAGACGTGCGATGCCCGCTTTGTCGGTGCGCGGTCGCCTGGAGTCCCGACACGTTCCCCGGGGCTGGCTTGTTGTCCCGAGCCCATCTTTTACGGCCCCGAGGCCCGGGGAGGTCCCCCGGAGGCCGAAAATCACGGGATTACAGACCACCTGGGCCCGACACTTGTGTGTTCATCACACGGCCCTGGGCGTTGACTAAAGCAGCCCTGCCCTGGTCGCTTCCTCCTCTGGGTGCGCTTACTGCACGGCTTCGCTCGTCGAGATGATATCTTATAGGGGTGGATGTTCTGCCCGAGTTTTCACGACGTCCTGAGTTTTCACGACGCGAGCACCCAGAGATCCGACGTCGTGTTTTTTTCCGTGCGCGGTCCCCGGAAGTCTCGACCCACCCCCCAGGACCGGTCTTTCATCCTCAGCCGTTTTTGACGGGCCCGCTGAGGGCCTTTACAGGCCGCAAATTGCGAAAAGTCTCCGTCGTGCTTTTTTCGATGCGTTGGATCTCTGGGCATGTCGGGGGAGGCAAGACTCAGGAAGGGAACAAAACACACAGACACTATTGATCGTCGATTCCCAGGAAGGTGTTGGGAAGATATGCGAAGTGGGGGGGAAGACGAATACCCCGAAAATATGGTAAAATATGGGGAATCTGGTTATCTGTGTGTACTTATTTGTGTGTCCCAGGGCCCCTTCAATCGGCAACACCCCAACATACTTATACTATATGTGCGTCGCCCCCCCAGGGGCGACGCGCGCACCGAGAAATCTTATAGTATATGCGTCGTGGCGGGCGCTTTCTGGCCACACCGCTCGGGAAACGATACACTACAAGATGGGTGTACTATATGTTCGGGTCGGACGCGCGCCTCCAAGGAGGACATATAGTATCAGTATGTCCATGTGCGTCCCATTCAAAGACGAAGACCCAGAAAATCGGGTAAAATATGGGGAATCTGGTTATCTGTGTGTATTTATTTGTGTGTCCCAGGGCCCCTTCAAAGACGGCCCCGCCGCCGAGGCAACGACCCCATCATCCGCGCGGAGGCGCCGGGCCTGCGCGGCAGGCGCGCTCGGCGCCGGCCGTCGCCCGGGCCCCCTCTCCGCGCGGCCAGCCGTCCCCCCCCCTCCTCCTGCTCCTCTTCCTCCTCCTCCTCCTCCCCACCCTCTCCTCCTCCTCTCTCTCCTCCTCCTCCTCTCCCCCTCCTCCTCCTCCTCCTCCTCCTCCTCCTCCTCCCCCTCCTCCTCCTCCTCCTCCTCCTCCTCCTCCTCCTCCCCCGGGCAACGCCGGCAGGGCACCGTCGGCGGCCTGCGGGCCGGCGGACGGGCCGTCTTTGGGGCCTCGGCGCCCCAGAGATCCAGCGCATCGAACAGTCGAGTTTTTTTTTTTTTTTTTTTTTTTTTTTTTTTTCTCGGAATTTTCGGTCTCCAGGGGCCCTCGCCTGGCCCCAGGACAGTCAGAAAGCGGCTCAGGAGGAAAGACCAGTCCTGGGGAGTGGGTCGAGACTTCCGGGGGCCGCGTGTGGAAACAATCACGACGTCGACTCTCTGGGGAGGTCGCGACGAGACACCGTGTGCCGACGCGAATGTGTATCCCGATGCCTGTGGCCATGCGTCGAAGAAGTGACAACGCCATAAGCATAGACTTTTGCGCTCCGCGCGGGGCCTTCGGGCTCAGGCGCTCGGCCGGTCTTGAACAACGGTTGGGCGCAGATCTGTTCCCTTGGGCCGTGCGCCCTCGACGCCGCGTGGCGGCGGGCCAGCCGGGCATTGCGTGAGAGGGATCTCTCCCCGGACCGCGCCTCGGGCTGCAGGCCGAGGGGGCCGAGTTCGAGGGAACTCGTCGTGCAGGTGGCCGAGGTCGCGGACCTCCGCGCGGAGGAGGCACGGCGGCCGCTGAGCGCTTTCGTGGGCGAGGCAGTGGCCGAGGAGCCGGTGCAGACGTGTCCGAGGGCGCTCCGCGGCTGCCCGGAGCGAGCCACGCCGGAGAACGCCGCGGCGCACCTCGGGTTGGCGGACAGCCGTGGCGTGTCCGAGGGCCCGCCGCCGCCGGGGGCCCGTGCGATGGCGGGGGCCCGCTTCGCCCAGAGGTGCCGCGAGGCCGCTGGGGAGAGCCGTCGTGGCTTGGAGGTGTAGGAGTGGGTTCAGTGGTGGCCCCGCCTGATCGCGCTGCTCGGGGGATGGGCGGGTGCGCCCTCCGTCGAGGCGGCGCGGTCCTGCATGGATCCGGAACGGGCGAGGAGCGGTATCGCGGGCCGCGCGCGCATCAACACGGTGAGGAAGTGCGTGCGGGCCATGGAGACGATGCGCAGGTGAGCCTTGCGCGCGCACGGGGTCCCGTGGCCCGCGACGATTTTGTTCTTATTGACCACGTGCGTGCCAGGGCGGCGGGGCCATATGTGCCGTCTGTGCCCAACCAGACCCTGCGCGCCATGGTGTGGACGGACAGGGTGGCAGGTGCCAACCCGAAACATTATTCGCCCGATTGGAGGCGCAGCTGGTCGTCGCTAACATTGAGATTCTCAGGCGTGGGCCACAGACCGACGACGAGGGCGGCGCGATATCCATAACGCGTTCATCGGGGCGTTTGGGCGGCTGGTCATGGACGAGTACCTCGCGCCGTGCTTGCGCGGGTTGGCGTGGTTCCGCCTTGTCAAGGTGTTGGCGGTGCTACGCTACGGCGACCACACCTGGCTCCCGCCGCAGCGCCTCGCCTTCGTGGGCGGGTGGCTGACGGCCACGTTGGGGCGCGCGAAGACTCGCGGACCAGGGCGCAAGATGACGGAGCTGCCACTCGTGGTATCCCGCGAGTGTTACGTGCTGGACCCAGTGTGGATTCAGACGGGTTT